ATTATTATAGCTATTTATTGATCTAGAATATAATCCTAAGATTTTTTTTTTTTTTTACTTAATGCACGAAATTGATACCTATAAATGATTATTATTTCTTAATAATTTTTAATGTAAAATATTTATAATACCGTAAATATTTGGTTAGGTCAAACAATTTACAATAAATTCTTAAAACTATAACTTGATGTAATTTTTAAAATCAATTCACTTGCTAATAACACAACTTCTGCTCTGTTTGCGCAGTGACTTTAATTTTTTTAAGTTGGCATTACGTAAATATTTTTGACGTCACACCGAACAAAATTGTTAAAGTTTTATTCTATTGTATTATTATACGCCAAGAAATTATTTTTAAAAATAATAATAAAAAAATAGCGTATTATATTAAAGGTTTATAAAGAAAAACCTTTAATAAAAAGTAAAACGAAATAAAAAAAATAGGCACACATATAGATATATAAACACAAATTTTAAAAACAATTAAAATTATCAAAAATATCAATTAAAATAAATTTCTTATGCCATTTTAAAATAAAATTTTTTAAAATACTTGATGAGTTTTTTTATGTAAATATATTTCCACTTACCCATAGCGCCATTTAATTTGTTATTCACTTTCAAAAATGATTTGCTTAGTAATTTTAATGTATTAGCCAGTGGCTCAACTCTTCCACCGAAAGGAGGATCAAGTAAAATAAGTATTCTTCCACAACAAAGATGATTCATTAAAATTTCTTTCTGTTCTTTATCGAATATGTAATTGTTAAACATATTGTACCATATAAATTCATTTCGATTGTAAAAATTAAACTGAAAAATAAAATCGCACAATATATATATATATATAGGTACATACAAAATGCATTTTAAAAAGAAAACATGTTTTTTTCTCATACATAACTTACATAGTTTTTATCTAAGTCTAAAAGTATGCTAGTAATTTGATCCTTAAATTTGTTTACTATAAACTCATGAATTCTAGGTGTTCCAATACATAAGACCCTATTAATTTTGAGCCTGGTAATAATCGATAACAAATCATCAAGAGTTGGTTTCGAAAAAAAATATTGAGCATGCATTTTAGAATCTACCTTTGGGATAATAACTTCCGTAGGATAAGTTAGTTGATGTAATGTTAGATTGGGTAATACATTGCATTCAGAATGATTGTTATCATTAACAAACAAACAATTACATGTATAACAATAACTTGAATTTGAAACAATATTGTCTTTTTCATCTGCATCAATTTTATTTTTGTCGCTATATGAATTCGATTGAAAAGTTAAACTTTTTATTATATTAGAATAATTTTCAAATGGTTTTTGTGTCTTAACATCTGCAACTGCTTTTTCCTGTTGTTTTATCCAATATTTATTTAATTCTTTTGCTTTTATTTTATTTATATCATCAGCGGGTAAAAAAAAATTACAGTCTTTACGGTCTCTGCAAGCAGCGCAAGCATAATATTCTTTAGCTTTACCTTTTATTCTTCTAAATAATAAAGTAGGACCTGAAAAATATAATTGAAAATAAACTTTTATCATATTCTAAAAAAAAAAAAAAAAACAGTTAAAACTGCAGCAATTATTTAATATTTTAGGGAAACATTTTTGTGGATTATACCATGTAGACACTGCGGATTATTATCCAAATCGTTAATAACTACATCAATACAAGTACTATCCATTTTTTTTTTTTTTTAAATAAAAAAGCGAGTAAATTAATGGAAAGAAATCCAAATATTCTAAAAAATTTGTAATTTAATTTATGCAAAAAACATATTGCCAACTTTAAAAACAAAAAATTTATGGCCAGGCGGTAAATTAAGAATTTTAAAAATAGTATTATTATAAATACTATTTTAGGAAAAGGAATTAAAAAAGGTTTTTTTTTTTTTTTGTTTAGACCCAAAATTAATAATTTTACAAATAATATTACAGTTTTGATGTATTTATTTATTTTTTTACATTTTAAAAATTACCTTTTAAATGTCAAGTTAAATTCCTTTGGTTCACAGTACAATGAATAATTAAATAATTGTACAGTTCAATTGAATAATTTATATATGTAAAAATAATATAATTAATTGTAAAATTCATTTTATATATAGTACAGTACTACCTTATTGCTTGAATATCAAACATTTTGGCGAATAATATTTTTAATCGAATCACTTTTTCTAAAAAGTAATAAAATGTTCATTTTAAAAATATTTCTAAACCTTAAAAAAAGAAAAAGGCAAGCAAATATTTTTCTCATATAAATAATAATAATAATAATAATAATAAGTTATCTAAATATCTGAATTTTTTGTAAATTTTCAATATTTAAATATTATAAATTATATGTAATGGCATAATTTGTCTTATCATTCCGAAAAAAAAAAAAAAAATAAATTTTTTTTTTTTTTCCAAAATATTCTAACATTACTTTAATACATCAATTGTTTGATATTCGCAATTAGTGAAAGAATGTTGAATTTTTATGTGATCTACCATTTCTCTTTTTAATCTACAAGAAAACATACACATGCCACATCGATAATATTTTAATTGATTATCAGGATTTCCTACAGGACATTCATAAGTATCTAATGTTTTTACAATTTCCACATTGGAATGCCTTCTCGTTCTGTGAGCAATTAAATTACACTTTTGCGCCGTCGAAAAATCACACACTGAACACTTAAATGGTTTTTCTTTTGTATGAGTACGAATGTGAACTTGCAAATTAACTTTCTGTGATGCAGCAAAATCACAAATTAAGCATTTAAACGGTTTCTCCTTTGTATGCGTTCTTATATGAGTCATTAAGTTGCCCTTTTGAGAAAATGTCGAACCGCAATATGGACAATCGTACATGTTTTGATCAGCATGTGTTTTAATATGCATTTCAAGTTCATAAAAATCTTCAGTCTTAAAATGACAAGCATTACACGACAATTGCCCTGGATTATAACCTTTCGTTTTACTCGGCCTTCCTCTTCTTCTTCCGACTTTAACAATACCAGATTTTATTTCTTTTTCTAATTTTATCGGTTTTTGATGAAAATCTATTTTAGGTCTTCCTCTGGATTTTTTACTGGCTGCACTCAATGACTGACGAAATTCATCGACCAAGAGGTATTCAGAAGTTGATGGATATTCTATTTTTATAGGCATTCGATGCATGTTTAAAACATGATTCGGACCAGGTAGGGTCGGATCCATTATTGTGGTTTTTAAATAATGTTTTTTAGGTTTTATTTTATTCTCTTTTGAGCATTTTTTGTTGCTAAGAAACTAAAAAATAATGCAAAAAATTATTATTAAAAAAATTTTTTTTTTTTTTAAAATAATCAATTTTTTCTTTTTTTTAGTTATTTTGTTATTGTTTTCTAACATCATAATAATAAAAATAATAAAAATTTTTATATAATTATTACTATGCAATACAACAATGAAAATTAAAAAAATAAATAATAACCGTAAAAAGTTAATATAAATAAATTATCGATAAAAAATTATTAAAAATAAAAAATTAGTAATAATAAAATATGAATTAAGCCAATACATATACCAAATAAATTATGTGTTACATTAATAAGAGCAATAGAGACAAAATTAAATTAATGAAAGGTAGATTTTAGGAGAAAATGTTTGTTTTTCTGTTTTTCGAATACCAAAAAGCGAATACAAATTGACATTAGAATACTGCAAAAAAAAAAATAATAATACTGGCAAAAAGAATATCATGCTATGGTTAGTGTACATATTAAATTTTAATTAACAAATAAATAAAAAAATTAGCACTAGTTACAAAATTAAATACGATAAGAAAAATTAAATAAAAAAAAAAAAAATGTCAAAATGTAAAGGGATAATCTAATGCACAAATTTGGAATAGTACCTACATTAATGGAATGATCTGAAACCTTCTTCATAACAGAATTAGTTGTGTTCTTTATTATAATAAAAATATTATAATAAAGTAGTTTAAATCATTTTCAAATAATCCTAAAAAAACAATTATTTCATACAGTTAGTAATAACATATATATATATATACATATTAGAAAATTTTTTTTTTTTGACATAGAAATCAGCCAGGTTATTATTTATGAAGCCTCATTAATTAAAAAAAAAAAAAATTATTATGAATAATTTCATTTTTATAAAATACACAAAACACTGATATATTGAATAAAAATAAAATATTTTAATAAAAAGAATTTAAGATATATTTATGGGTAAATTGCTCTATGTACAAATCGTAATTTAAAAAATTATTATATATATATATTATATATTTTCAATCAAATGGTAACTTAAGACATGTCATCTTAGAAATAACAGTTTCACTAGTATAACAAATAAAAAGCTTTAGCCTTTCAATAGTAATGAAATATGATAAAAAATACTCTAACCTGATAATTTGAATTAAAAATATCCTTTTTAATAATACTTTTATATGATAAAGTTGCAAACAACAAACATAATCCTCAATTCCGTGAAGAATTAATTCAATGTTTGGCGACAAACCAAGAATTGAGAACACGAGTACCAACCTAAAAAAATTTTTTGATGCTCAATGGCGGATGATTTTTCTAAGCTTGTTTGGTTCCACGACCACGCAATTCAATTCGATATTAATAATTATTTCATTAACATTCATTTTTAACAATTTCTTAAAAAAACTAATTTAGTTTTTTGGTTAAATATTATTATTATTAATAAATTACAATTTTTTAATACTCCCATTTATGCAGTATTCATTATATTCAAAGGTTTCTCAAAAAAAAAAAAAAAAAAAATTTATTTAAATAAAAATAATTTTTTTTAATAATTTTTAAAAATTTTTTTACATTTTTTTTTTTTTTTTTAATAAAAAATTTACAATTTAATAGTTTAGCTAAGCAACTAACCGTTAAACGTTGCGTTTAATTGAATAAATTTAAGTAAATAATTTTAGAATATTATAATTCCATATACACTTTTTTAATACCTTTTCTTTTCCTTTTTAAAAAGTTTCAATCAATCATTTAAAAAAAAAACAAATTTTATTCGAACATTATTATTTTTTTTACACGTTTAATAATTTAAATACCTTTACAAATATTATTATTATTATTTAAAAATTTAACTAAACTTTTCATCAATTATATATAAGATTAAAAAGATTATTATTATTATTATTATTAGATTTATCACAATATTCTTATTTCACAAAGCTTTTTTTTTATTAAATTTTTATTAAATTTTATTATCTAAGAGTTATAATAATTGAATTTTATCTATTAATATTAATAAAATTGTTCTCAAATTGTACAGTATACTGAAAAAACTTTATTTTACGGGTTTTGTGTACGTTTCGAAAAATTTTTTTATGTGTAAAGAAAACAAAAAAAAAAAAATGTGAGCACATTTTAAGTAAAATCAACATTTCTTATTATTATTTATCTATTTCCCTTATAAAATTCATTCATTGTTTATTTCATATTGAATCATTAAACTTTCTTTTTTCCCTTTTTTTTGAAATTTCCCTTTTGAAAAATAATAATAATAATAATCTTATTAAATTTCCGGCGATTAAAAATTAAATATATTTATTTTTATTATTATTTCTATTGATTCCTATGATGTCGTTGGAATTTCTTCGATTGTAAAAGGAGTTACTTGGTATAGAAAGCAACGATTGCACACTCGAACGGGTTTTATATGACCGTAACGTGGCAAAGGGACGGAATTAGAGCTGCATCTGGCACAAAACACCTAAATTAAAAAAAATTTTCTTACTTATTTATACTACCACAAACAAGAGAAAATAAAAAAAAAAAAACCGTAAAAATAATTACTTTTCCACAATTTCTGCAATGATGCCTTCTTCTGACCAATGTAAAAACAGCCTCGCAAGTCATGCATCTCGGTGCCATGACATCCGGAACCCAAGGAGGAGGATTTTCTTTTTCTTTTCTATTATCATCAACTCTACCACTTCCCTCGGTTGTTGCTGCAATTGTTGTTGTTGTTGTTGTTGTTGTTGTCGTCGTCGTCGGTTCATCATTTCTTTCGTTTTCGATTTGTGGTGAACTTTCCCACGCTTCTTCCGCACTTTCTATTCTAGGTAAATCTAAAAAATAATGATAAAAAAAAAAAATTTCCGATAAAATAATTTTTTCTCGTGCTTGTCACCTTTCTATCAAACATTTTCGACTTACCTGATCCGTTTGAAATATTATATTGAACATTATTATCTTGTTCTTCGCAATCGGAATCCGTGGCATTCATTAAAAACACCGATTGTAAAATATTTCTCAAATCTCCGGCAAAATTCGTTTGTAATTGATCGGCAACACCGGCAATGCAAACAAATAACCTGTGAATTAAATCCTCGCTCGATCTACACATAAAACAAAAAAAAAGAAAATTTTTTTAAAAAATAAATTCGTCAAATTTAAAAAATTAACGGAAAAACAATTAATTGCGAATGGGTAGCGTACTTGAATCTTGCTCTCGTATCATTTCTACAAACAGATTCGGCAGCTTTTAATGCTAATGCTATTTCTTCATCATCTTGAAGTTCAGAATTGAAAGAAGACGTTTCGGAAGATAAGCTACACGTTTCCGAAGTGACACAACTCGAACAACTTGATGAAAAACTACTACTTATCGGTGGACCATCCGAACCCCTACAGATGAAAGGTACAAAAGAAATAAGAAATCTACTTTTAAAAATAAAAGTACTCGTTTCAGTAACAAATATTACCTTTTGGAATGACTAGCTAACTGTAAGGATGCATTTTCTTTTTGGTTTTGAGTACCATTTCGCATTTTGTGAACTTTTTTAGGTTTTCCCAAATTTTCTTTTCTCGCCACGTTTAATATACTCAAACGCCTATTGAAATTACCACGACCCGATCGGTTGTGACCATTGGAATTATCAAAGGTTTGCAATGGAATGAGAGTACTGGTCCGTATTCTATAAATTTCTGGAGTGCTTGCTATTTGTCTTTCGTCTGATACGCTTATGACAAAATTAGTCGGAAGATCTAACGATACTGAATCACTGACAGGTTCCACTTGAACTGAAATAAAACAGAGAGAGAGAGAGAGAGAGAGAGAGAGTAAAAAAAATGCAACTTTTATTCGTGCAGAAAATTCGTAATAATAATAATAAAAACCTTCGCTTCCGGTTGTGAATGGTATAAGAGCTTCCCAATTGTTGCAGTAATTCTGTTGCAATTCGCTATGACTAGGACTTTCACTTTCATGTTCATTTTGAAAGTAAAAATTAACATCGTTTGTTTTAACATCTCCTTGACCCACGGCAATCCCGTACCATTCTTCGTTTCTTTCCTCCACCACAGCATTATTACAGTCGTCTGATATTTTATTACATTGTTCTAGCAAACTCGAGTCTTTTAAAGGCTGATTTAAATATGGGGAGCCACTACTGTTGCTAATGTAATTGGAATCTGAAAGACGTATTTTAGAACAGGGGAAATTTTTACGCGTCTTCCCGCAAATATCACATATAAAATCGTTTTTCTCTAAACCCGGACTCGAATTTTCTTTCGACGTGGACGGCGAATTCATTTTCTCATTTTCCGACTTCCCATATAAAACCGTATTGTCGACTTCACTATTTTCCAATCCGGAATCCGGACTCACCAATCTATCCGACTGGTCATTGTAACTATTTTCACGGCCATTTATTTTACAATTTAATATATCAGTTTTTACATCATCCGTCTTTAAAATACCCGTTTCTATATTTTCTTTTTCTGACAGTGCGGATTCATTGTCCAAATGAATTTCATTGAAACAATTGCATATATCATCGTAACAAATGCTGCTAGAATTAAAACAAGTACATTTATTCACTGATTCATTGCTAGTAAAATTATTATTATTATTAACGTTAATATTTAAAATATTATTATCCGATGAATCATCATTGGTATTCGTGTTCAACAAAGACGACAGGGTTTCCGTGACAAGGTTTAAAGATTCCGCGTGATCTCCATCCGGAAGCGAGTGTCCCACAATTATCGGAGCTTCGTTGGGTGTCGTTATGCAGTTTAAATTAACTTGATTCGCGATCAGATACCCGGAAGATGTATTCGTATCGTTAACGATGGTAATGTTTTCAGTTTTTGAAGGCGTGATGGTGGACTCGTTGGTTGTTATTTCGGACGGAACGATATTATTTACATTAACCACCGATGGAAGACAATTGACTCCGTCGTCCGGTTTATTTTCCGATGATTCGATCGATTCGTAATCAACATCATCTTCGAAATAATCGTAATTATCCCTATTTACATTAACGTCTTTTTCATCTAATTTTTCATTATCATCTAAACATTTACTACAGGAATTTGTATCGGAAAAATCAATGTTCGGATCTTCGCATGAACAAAGGAGTTTTTCCAACGTGAATAATTCTTTATTGCTTAAAGTCAATAACAAAGCACGTATTTTTCTTAGCAGAATCTAAAAATTAAAATTAAACTTGTTAATTTGTTTCTTTTTTTTTTTTTTAAAATTTACAATATAATTTGTAGCAGCTTAAATACCCGAAATGGCCTAAACATTTCAGACATATCAAGTAAATCTCCATCCACGCACAGAGGACCCTCTGGGAAAATTAAAAGTCCACTGACGATGGCTAATCGTGGAATAGCAAACATCAAAGCAGGATCGTAATCATCAATCATTTCTTGTGTTAATAAATTCAGTCTCAAAGCTCTGAAATAATAATAATAATAATAAGTTTATTCATCTCCAAGTTAAGACTCATAATTTAAATGATCTTTGAAATATCACATTATTACAAACCTTTGTAAAGTTTCAGAAAACAAAACTATAACTAATTGCTGCAAATAATATTCTCCTGGGCTTTTTACAGGAACCATCGCACTCACGTAACTCAACTCAAACTCGGCAAATAATCTATCGAATATAATGAGAGTATCCAATAGTTTTTCGTTAAATAAAAAATTACTAGTTTGAATGTTGGCGTTCATTCGAAAACATTGTTCCCGTAAAAGATTTCTAACGTTTTCTAAAGATTTCGTTAAAGCTTTGGCAAGTGGTCTCATGGCCGAACTTTCACTTTCCCTATTCATTATGGATGATCCTGCAGCCAAACACTTGAAGAAAAAAAAAAAGAAGAGAGATTATAAGAGTTTTGCTTTTAAAGGTACAACACTCAGTACGACATTTTTTCTAGAAAGACAGCGACACCTACTTCCGCTCCAAACCATAATTGACCCGCCAAATTTTCTTGTATGACATCATCAGGAAACTTGACTCGAAAATGGCGTGATGCTCTTTTAGTCGGTATCAATTGATTCATTATTTTTCCACATATGTTTAAAACCTTATCCTGACACTGTCTTAAATGATTTACCAATATCGAACACCTTTCCGGATCCTAAAAAAAAAAAAAGACAAAATTTTATGTATATATATAAATAAAACATGTAATTACACTTGATTCAAAATCAACAAAATATCTATTCAATAAAATCTTTTTGTTTTCATTTATAATAATAAATTTTTCCTAGAATAAAACAATTTTTTAAAATAATAATAATTAATTTATGAATTGATCCTTAATTAAATTTATTAATTTCAACAACTAGTTTGAATAAACAAAATCTTGTTAAAAGAGGATAATTTATTTTTTTTTTGAATGTAAATGATTGATTTATAAATTCAATGGACAGTCTTTTCATTCACATACATAATTTTTTTAGCTAGCCTCTCACTTTTCTAAAAAAAAAAAAAAAAAAAAAAAACTCAACAAACACATTATTCAATGTGACGTTATTAAAATCAAATTATAATAGACACATTTAAAATTAAAATTTTAAAAAAGATTATTTTTAGTATATTTACACGACATTACAATAATTATAGTTTAGACATTATAAATTGGGTGGTTTAGTAGCAATCGAGTGGGAATAAAAAAAAAAGGTTAATGTACTGATTTAAACAAAAATATTTATTGATTAATATTAATTATATATATATATATATTTCATTATAAATAATGAAAGTTATGTACTTTTTTTTCTTTCCCCCCTTTTTACTTTTTAATAACGATACCATGTTTTAATTACAATAATAAAATCGACAAAGTATGAGATTCCATTGATTCTTATCGAGTTATGTGGGTATTATGTAAAATTGAGTAACTTATATTTATCATTGATTTAAAAATATTAATATGGAATAAAATTTTAGTAAAATACTTCATTGTATTAATATGCAAAATATAATTTTAAAAATTTTAATTTAATAATAATACTTACTTTTCTGCCATCGAAACTATCCAATTCTGCTGTGACATTGTTAAGGTCCTCATCGGCATAAAAAAACTGAGCTAAGAGGGAAGAATCATCCCTCTGAAACAAAAAAAAAAAGCATTCATTAAAAAATTATAATTATAAATTTATGTGAACAAATTTCGAAGCAATGATATTAATTATAAAGTTGAACGATGTAAAAGTTTTTACAAAATGGAATTAAATAACAGTCATCAGACATAAAGTTTTGGAAAAACAAATGATTTTTACATGTAATAAATTGCTTAAAACATTTTAAGTTTAATTTTTTTCAAGTGTAGTTAATCTTATCATAAAAGTTTTAATTATTAAATGAAAAATTACAAAATTACAAAATTTGTGTACTAATAATAATAATAATAATTTATAAAAAGCTAAATAAAATCAGTAAAAAAGCAATAAGCATGAAAAAAAAAAGTAAAAGTAATTTAAACTGGTAACTTTCTCCAGTTTGCTTTATTAAACCTTTGAGTGAACTTAAGTTCTACTTAAAAGATATTTGAAAGCAAATTAGTAATTTGTTAAAATGAGTTAGAAATTTTATGAAGAAGAAAAAAAAAAAAAAAAAAAATTTCTTATATTCCTTCTTTACATTATTAAATAAAAAAATTTTTTTTTCATGATATTGTTAATACGAAAACAAAAAAAATGTAAATTTTGACTTAGCAAATGATTATCAGCCATATTAAATATTTAAATAAGTGAAAATGATGTTTTAAAATTGATGAAATTACAAAAATTCAATGTAAGCTTCACTTTATCTGTTACTCGAATCACATTATTTTATCAAATTTAAAAGCAAACAAAATTTTAATATTTGTTCAGACTGAGGAAATTCTTAAAGAAACATTTACAAGTTTAAAACGAAAATTTAAATTTATTTAAAAATTCAAAAATAGACACTTCCTGCATTTGAATTTTTATAGTTTATGTAAATTAATTTGATGCCAAGTTAAAAAAAAAAAAAAGAAATGTAATATTTAAAAGTTAAAATTTAAATTTCGATATGAATTTTTATATAGTAAAAACTTTACATAAAATTTAAATCGTATATTAAAAAAGTAAGATGTACAAAAATCATTAAAAAGAAAAATTTCACTTTTTTTTTAAAGAAGAATTATGTAGTTTTAATGTCACTGGTTAAATTGCAAAATAACATTATCTCAAAAAGTTAACATTCAATATATTCATTATAGTAAATAAATGTTTTCAAAATTAATACAATGCATGATTTATATAAAAAGTAATCATGTACATGCAGGCAGCAATAAAAACAAAAATTAAGAAATAAAGACACAGTTTGTAATTGGGGCAACTGGCAATCAAGGACGATTCAAGAAACTTAAATAATTCAAATATTTATTTAAATAAATAATATCAGTGATAAATAAAATTAAGTTAAAAGTTAAATAATGTTACAATTTTAAAAAATATTTTAGACTAACACGGGAGAAAATTAATTGCAAAAATTTTGTTTACTAAATTTAGGACAAAAACACCTAGGACAGTAGTTAGTTGTAATTTACTTTAATTTACCTTTGGCCTGTAAAACCATTTTCTAAAAGACTCCATTAATACCTTTCTTCTACAAAAAAAAAAAAAATCAATGCAGCATTGTTTTAAATAAAAAACCTATAAAATACATTTTAACATAAAAGAAAATTAAAATTCATTTTCACATCTATGAATCATACAATATTGAAAACTTTCTGATGCGTAAAAAATACAAGTTAGCCAACTTTGATATTAGATTGGCAATATTTATATTCGACTTGTTGCTTCTCGAAATCCGCGAGATTTTCTTTGGCAAGTATGTCTTCAATGGTGGGATTAAAACAAAATTTTTTTTTTTTTTTTTAACTCTTGCGCAAGGTTTTTAACCAGATCTTCCGAGTATAAAATAATAATTTTTCAAATAACAACAGCAGTAGTCTTTTGGTTGACAGTAATTGATTTGTGATTTAATTTATTTATGTTAAAAGTAAGTTTAAATTTTTAATAAATTTTAAATTGAAAAGTTTTCCTTTTTTCATTATTTTTATGATAAACCGTTTTAAATTATTTTAAAATAATTTTGTGTGCTTTTTTCTAAAATATTAGTTTTCGAAAATTAAATTACTTATTTAATCCTTTTAATTTTAAAATTAATATAAAATTAGAGTAATATTGTGCATTTTGTTTTTTGGTTAAGTAGTTTATGTAATTATGATTAATTAAGTATTTTTTCCTCTTACTGACTACTTTTTAAAATTAAAAAATTGTATTTTAAACAAAAAAAAAAAAGTTTAAATGTAAAAAAAATGAAAAAATTACTTTTCAATTAATCATGAATTATTTCTATTTAAAAACTGTAACTTAAAATTTTTTTTTTTTATTTATTTTCAGAATGTTTTTTTTAAGGACGCATAATTACCGTTTTCTTCTTTTCATATTGATTTCAACTGGTTTGTGCGATATTATATTCGGACAAACATTTCAATATTCTAGAGGTTGGACAAATGGAAAAAAAAGATCATCCATCGAATCGGTTTTATTTCCAGACACATTTGAAAATCAAGAAGAATATGGGATTTGTCAAATGCAAAGATTAAGAGAAATGTGGGATAGCAGACGCTCAGAAGGAGTTATTATTTATTTATTTTTTTTCCTTATTTCAATCAAAAATAATTTATTATATTTTTATTATTTTTTTATTTTTTTTCTTACTTTCAGGAGTTTCTTCCATGCGAAACGCTTAACAAACCCGATTTGGAAATGATTGAGAGACACCGAAGAAAATTCGACTGCGATCGTAATACAATTTTAAATACTTTTCCTCGTCAACCTAATTAAAATTTTATTTAATATTTTTATTTTTTAATTTATTTATCAGATATTGCATTTTAAATTGTTAAAAATGACAAAAAAAAAAAAAAACAGTTTTAAAGTTTATGGTTATGGGTATTAAATATTAACGATATTTATTTTATTTTATTTCGATTACATTAAATATTTATTTTATATTGTATTATTATTACATTTCATAATGCAACTTTGTTTTTATTAAGTTACTATGTTTTTATCATTATTTTTAAAGTATAATGCAATTTAATTTGTTTTTATTTATGCAAAAAAAATTTTTTTAAAATAAAATTAAATATAAATACATTTGCAATTATCAAAAGTTTGTTTATTTTTATATTTTTCATAAACCTTTATTAAAAATTGATAAACAAATTACCGCGAAATATTCGAAACTAGCACCATCTTTACGCGTCACTTTGAAAAAAAAAAACAATACTGTTTTGCCGCTCGAGAACTTTAGAGCGTAAATTTTAGAAACATTTTTAGTTGAAAAATTTTAAAACAGGTGTCGCTTTTGGCGCCATGAAAACGTTAATTTTTTAATTATGGTGGTCATGGTGAAATAATTTGGTGTTAGAATAATTTTTTTTGCAATCTAACAACATTTGCTGAAATTAGGATCTGTTTTATTGGTGAGTAATTTAAAAGTACTCATATTCCTTCTTTGCAAATACTTAAATTTAAAACTGCAACAATATATACTTATTTTTTTCTTAAAAACGCCATTAGCATATGATGATTGATAGTTTTTCATATTTCATATTCATGTTTTATAAAACTTTGTACTTAATTATCAAATTCTCTCAGTAAATTCAACTTAATTATCACTTTTTTAAGAATTATAAGGTTATGTATTTGTGAATCCAGGCAAGTGATATAATATGATTAAACAATTTTCAAAAAGAATTTTTATTACATTCAGATTCAAATTTAAGGTTTGAAATTTATTATTAATCAATATAAATCATACAGATAATGAGGGGGTAAAGAAAGATGATGATGATAATAATAATAATAACAATAAAAAAACAATAAACAAAAACCAGATAAATCAATTGCCCCATTGAAATAAACAGTGACAATTTTAAAAATAAGAGACATGCTATATCATATATATATTTTTTTTAAGGGTGCATTTACATCCCTTATTAAATAATAATAAAGTAAAAAAAAAAAAAAATAGAACAAAAGCAATTTAGGAGGAACAACTCCCCATTGCACAAGCCTAATCTGCAGATTAACTTTTAATGTAGTTGAAAGCCATAACAGGTTAACAGAGTTATTGAATTTGACATTCTCCAACCTCCTGCTACGTTCATGCTTCAACTTGCACATGAAATCCATTGAGAATTAAGTTTGAGAGTACTTTTCATTAAAATCAGGGCCGTAAATTATTTTACATTTAATTACATTTTAACAAAAAAAACATTTTTTTTTTTTTTTTTACAAGGAAAATAATTATTTCTTAATCCCAATTATTTTTTTTCAATTTTTTAAAAACCAAAAAAAAAAAAAAAAAAAAAAAAAATTAATTGTGGCTTGTTAATGGTTAGATTGTTATTATTTCAATATCATGTTCTTTTATGATAAGAGAATTTTAAGAACTGATTATATGTTTTTAAAACAATGCAAATAATTCTTTACTTGCACATTCATTAAAAAAAAAAAATTCATACTCATATGTGTTACTTAATTTCACCACATCATGTTCCTGCCTTTTCTTTATCATCTAGTTTCACATTCATAACAATATGCTTAAATAATGCGTGTGCGTGTGCGTGTGTAACTCGAGTACCACAAACCACTACTTTTAAAGAATCCAAACATAGGCAATTTTTAAAAAATATTTTTTTATCAATGCTTACCTATCATTTATTCCATTTAATCTAATAAACTTGAATACTTTTGTGTAAGAAAATTTTTTTTTAGTAAAAAACCTGATTTATTGCTTTGTTCGTATCAATAATAATAATAATAATAATAAACTTTATAGTTCGTGACGTTATAGAATTTTTATTAAAATACTTAGATATTGTACTAAATCCGACACTGTAAACGTCTCTCTCTCTCTCTCTCTCTCACTCTCTTATTCCCAAAGGTGGTATAGCATCAAAAACCAAGGCAAATGAAGGGGATATTGAACCACCCTTTCTCTCACTCCCTCTCTCTCTCTCTTTTTATTCTATTTCAAATACAATTGTAAATTTCATTTTTATAAAAAAAAAAAAAATTGTCATTCATATTAAATTTATTTAATAGAAAAAAAAAAAATTAAACTCGAACTCGTGGTGATTCGTCATTCGATTTCCATTATTTACGTATGACCCTAATAAAAAAATAAAATGGGAAGAAAAATTTAAAATTTTTATAATTTTCTACCTGTTTGAAACCGACTTTTTATTTATTACCATGCGGTTTGTGCGTTCGAGTGTGCGTGTGTGCGGTATTGTTTTAAATGCAATTTATACTGTCAACTCCCCGACGAAATCTTGTTGTTTATATATACGTTTGATTAATTAGGTTATTTAGTCGGAAAATAAATTATGTTTTGATTTGTTACTTGTTGAGTTGTCGTCAACTTGTTACCATCATGTCGATTCATCATCATCATCGTTAATAATAAAAAAAATTTTTTTTTCTTTTTCTTAACAAATAAAAAAAGAAAATACGACGATGATGATGATAATTGAGGTTAACCTTTTCTGGGTGAAGAAAAAAAAAAAAAGCGAAACAAAAACCGATGGGGTAACGCCTTATTATTTTGCACCATCACGTTATAGTTAATGATCTTGATGTTTGGTTGGTTCTTTGGTTGGTTTGTTAAAGATTTCAAAGAAACGAATGCGTAACAGCGTTTAATTAAAGTTCTTGTAGTTGAAAAAAAAAAAAAAAAAAATTTCCTATAATTTTTATATACTAGTGTGTATCATGACAAATTTCATGGCGCACGCTATGGTCTCTTTAAATTATAAGTAATCTTCAAGTTTTTTTTGACGCGTCCCTTATTGCATTCGTAACCGTGAATTTTTGTCAATTTACCTAATATACCTAATTTATTGTCATTCATTCATTCATTCATTCATTCATTCATTCGTTCGTCGGTTGGTTTTTTTTTTTTTTTTTCACGGAATTTATTTTTTATTTATGTTATTAAAGTGCGGTAACTTTTATTTACAATTGAGGTCAGTCACAGTCGGGTTTTTTTTTTTTTTTTTTTTTTTTTTTTCGTGGCAGGAGGAGGTTAAATAAGACGACGACGGATTTCTTAGGATCGAATTAATTTTTTTTTGGGGGGGTTTCGTGATTATTATTTTTCGAAAAAGTTTTGCGACATGCATTCGACTCTCAACATGCAACAACCCACGCCACCGACAATTAACCAATTGAAATTTTCACACGAAAGCTCTAGAGGGTTGAAAATTTATTTATATATATATATAGGAAATTCGATATCCGTGAGCTTATTTACTACTTACTACTATTACTATCATCCCTCATTGCATCCGACACAATCGTATTCTTTCATAAGGGAGGGGGATGAGAAACACTTGTCCGCAAAGCACAATCTTGTCGTCAATTTTATCATCATCATCATTACCGAAACCGATTGAATTGATTTCGATTGATTAAATTTTATTTTTCGGATTTGTTTCTCTTATCTTGTATATTTCTCAAATTTATGTACGTTTACGAATTTCGATCAATCGAAACAAACAAACAAACAAACG